TTCGTGTTCTTAGGAGAAAATATGCATAAGTTTGTTTGTCATGAATAATTGGTAACATCTGTGATGTGATAAATATTAATTGAGGATCGATTTTAACTTTGACTCGTAATCGCATCTTTGCAACGATATTGCAAAAAAATATTTTTGTTCGAGAAGGAATCGTTTGACGAATTAAGTAATTAACGGAGTCCGAGCGGACTTCCTGTTTTCAAAAAATTGGAGTTTAATTTTATGAAGACAGAAGAAGAATATGTTAAAATCTTTGGAGTTTAATAAATAAATTTGGTGGGATTTGATATTTGATGTGTAATCTAGAGTAAGTTAATATTGGAAATTAATTAAGTAAAAAAAAAAAAAAAAGAAAAATATTCGTTTTTAATTTCATGACATTCGAGAATGAATATATTAATATTCATTAAACATTACAATTGCATTTCAAATACACTTTGAAAAGTGTGTTTCTCGACTCGTATCATACGACTTTTTTTTAAGTACATTTCAGTTTCTCCTTTACCTTGAAAATTGTATAATATCGAAAATTTTGCTGTATAAAACATTTGCTATAAATACTGCTTACTAATACTTTGAACACTTTTATGAGTCACGTAGTCATGTGTTTTCATGTGAATGCATATCGCGTTAAGAGCAATACTCGATGACCCATTGATGAGGTCACGCCTATCAATTTGACCTAATTTTTTTCAATTTTTGACAATGGATAACAAACATACCTTAACGCTTGATCAAAAGTGTGTAATAAGTAGAGTATCTCCATCTAGAACGTTCTAGAAACTCTCCACTCACGTGTCCATCACGCCTTGATCCAGACGCAATCGACGAAAAAAACCTCGCAAAATTAATTACATAAATTTTTTTCTCTTTTTTTTTTCTAACTGCTTCTCAGAAAAGAAAATTCAGAATACGATAAATCCTTAAAAGTCGAGTTACTTTTAAATTTGTTTTAAATTTAAGTTAATTTAAGTTAAGATAAGAGTTTCACGGATAATCTAAAACTCGTTATATTTCCACGGCTAATTTTCTTTCTGTTTTACTACTCTCTTAAAAAAAAATTTTAAAAACTCGTAAAAAAGATACGTTCGGGAAAAATTACACAATTTTACAATTCTATTTTTCTTAATCTCATTTCGTGCTTTTCGTATTTTCGTAAAATGTTTCAACGACTCGATGGCTATTCGGGTAATTGAAACACTCGAAATAATACTCCAATGCCGCAACATTATTACACTGACGAGCGTTCATCAGCAAAGGGAAAAATCTCTCAAGAATGAAATTCTCCTTCGAGCATAACCTACTCGCACAGAATTGAGGTTAGGAGCGAGGAATCGGGCTTTTTTCAAGGGAATTTCCACGAGTCGGATAGCGTCACGGATCTAAGTAGAAGGCAGTCGTCTGATGCTCGTATAGACCACGATTCCCTTGATATACCTACAGACGAGGACGAGGCGAACGAAATTGACTGCGGCGCCGTGTGTTTCACGGTGGCTGCGCCACTCGGCTTGGCCGCACAAGTAGCTCGTTCCCTTCCCTTGTGATTTCACGGGGACGCGTCGACGAGCAGCATCGCGGTTTCAAGGTGAACCGATTAAAGCCGAGCAGATCTTTCCATCTTTTAGAGTAGATTTTATTCGAGTAGGTATCATTGAAGATTTGTGAAGGATTGTGAGGAGGGATAAGAGTGATTCGGAGGAGAACGTTGGTTATCGGCTTCGTATTGAATGAATTTCATTGCGATCTCATTCTAGAAGTGATTTAATTTATAAAATTGATGGTATGAACAAGGCAACGCCTCTTCGAAATAAATTAGAATTATCGGATGTCACTTTGATGTTGTTCGGTGAAGAGGGAGGATACTGTTCCAATACAGTGATCTTTTTATAAATAAAATTATTTTCTCTAAACTTTAAAAAAATTTAGGTAATCTTGTGCCGGCACATATGATCAAGATTTTTTGAATTTTTCCAGGTCGTTGCAAAAATATTTCTTAATAATTCCGATTAAAATCAAAAAAGGAAATCGCCCTCTCGATAAATCAGCGGAATTGGCTGGGTTCGACGAACAATAGGAATAAGAAGAAATGAAAAGTTTCGAAATCAAATGAAGTTGGAACACCTCTGGGTTATAAAATTTTAAAAAAATTGCAAGGGTTTGGTGAATATCTATGAGAGAATAATACCGAGAAAGAGAAAAAGGAACCTAAATGAAGAAGAAAATGTAATTTTTTTGAAATCCTGAAAAAAAGAAAAAATTGCAGAGTTACTGACCTAAGTGAATAACAGGCAGAAAATAATATTACTATTATACATTTGGTGTTCTTTGTTCGTTTATACGTAATTGGATGATGATTCGTCGATCGCTGGTGTGTATTAATTGTCAAGAGCGAATATGTTCCGATAGGCACGCAGAAAACAAGTGGATCATGTGTCACATGACACATGAGGCTGACGTATCAGCTGAACTGGAGCAGATGAATCCGGTTGCGTTATATGCACGCTGTTATTTACATAATTCGTAACGTTTCGGCGAGATTCATAGAATACGCACGGGGGGGTGTGGATCGTGGACTAGAATCCGCAGAAATTGAACGACACTTCCGATAACCCTGCACGATTCTCTTAAAACGGCCGATGCTCGGCACGTTATTTGCGATGAGAAAAGAGAGAGAAAAAAAAAGGAATGTAAAAATAAAACGGATAAAAATGGTAGTAAAAATAAATAAATAATCGAGAGATATAAATAAATATTTTTCCGATGTGGGTAATATAATAAAAAGTGGTAACGAAAACATCGTTCATCGTCGGATAAATTTAAAATTTCTCAAAATTCGTTATCGAAAAAAGACAAAAGAAAATATATATTCCCTAAAATGAATAAATAAAAAAAAAATTCGATAACTTCTTTAGTTCTATCTTCGAAAATTCGAAAGATTCAATCGCCCGAAATTGGTGAGGAAAAAAAAAATTAATCAGAAAAGAAGATAACGATTCTCGATTCTTTCTCTCTCTCTTAAAAAATTCACGCGCCCTCTTCCAATCAGCCAACAAAAGGAAGCCCCCAAACCTCCACCGTATTCACCAATTCTAAATAATTTCCACAAACGATCCTCAGTCTCGATCGAGTTTTCAAAGAGCGGGGAACAGTCAGCGGTGGACTCGATAAAGAAATTCGTACCGTCTCGTTCATTTCGAACGGAGAAACAACTCCGGTTAAAGAATACCCGACCCGCATACAAAATATTCCCGCGGGGTACGAAGCGGTCGACCGTTCGATTGCCCCGAGTTGAAATGGGTTAAACGTGGCACGATAAATAGCCTCCAATTGATTTCGCATTGTAACCTCGCGGAAACGAGGATAGGATATGCTCTTTGGTACGAAGGTATTTCCTAATTCCTATTTTTCGAAAATCAACCGAGCGAGACAATGGAGAGAGAGAGATAGTCGTTGCGTAACACACGCGACTCGAATTCAAATCAATTTTCGAAGCATACGAAATATAATATTCGATGGCGTTAACGAAGAAATTGTCCTCGTTTTCCTGTCGAAGAAGCTTTTTCTCCCCCTCCAACCCTCGATAACGATCGATCGAAGATTGAAATTCTTTTTAGGGGAATAAAAGTAACCATAACCAGTGAAGAAAGGATGGAAAAATCTCTGATTCGGAGTGGAAAAGTGGGTTAAGTTAGGAAAAGCGATTTTTCAAAAGAGATATAAAATTTTTTTTGCTGGATATAAGATCTTTTCTTCCATTTTCCTCTTTCTCTCTCTCTCTCTCTCTCTCTTTTCTTCCTCTTTTGATTCTTTTATGCTCGGTTCCGATGTTCTTTCGCGAGAGATGAACTTTTTTACGAGAATTTTTTTTTTATCTTGAATGATCGTCTTGACTTAACTCTCACTCCTGATTCATTGGATTAAAGTTTTTAATTCTACTTATACCGTTACCAATTTCAGCTTCTTACATTTGCAAATTCATGAACCCGATAGTGTCTTTTTTTCACTTCCTTTTCTGTCTTCTTATAACATTATATTTCATTAAAGATATCATTAATTTTATAATTTCTTTTTTTATTAATATCTCATTCGAAAGATTTTTTTCTTTTCTGTGTTTTCGCGAAAACTTTGGCTCTTCAAATTATACTTTTCGATTCCTCTAATATTGCCTTCAAAAAACCTAACTTTTACTCCATTTGAAAATATAATAAATGATAACAATATTTGGCATCTCTTAAATTCCAAACAAAATACGATCTATTATATGTACTTAGCTACACGAAATTTTAAACAAACAAGTTCGCATCGGAGCTTTCCTCTTCTCAAACGCGAAGATCCGTAATACCGAGTGCTCACGTGTTACCGGTAAAACTGATCACGTTATATCACAAACGTTGAACGATCGATTTAGACGGAATTACGCGTGATTATTATCAAATTCATACAGTATACAATATGCAAATACGTGTGTTTTTCAAGTCTCCACAAACACGAGGCCTAACGTGTCATCACGATAAACAATAGAGCGGGAAGATAAGAAAAAAACTTTTAACCAGTGGCTTACCGCCACTAGTCCCTTCCACTTACCTATCCCTCCCTTCTCACCGTTTCGAGGAAGATAGTCAGACGAGTCGATGCTCGTCGCTCTATCGCCGCGAATATCTCCATCTCTCTCCATGTGCCGAACATAATAACGTGAAGTGGTTTACGGATTGCGTTCAGTCACAGTACGCGCCGTCTTCCGATCACATCGATCTCCCATCTCGGTATATATACATATATATATATACACACACACACACACTCGGTGAAAATAAACACGCACCGAAACTTGGAAGCATCGGAAGAAATCTAACGTCTCTCGCTAACATCGTGGTTGGCTAACAGAAAACACGAAACGCACGAATCGAGGCACGCGTGCGAAAGCAATCACGATAGACGAACTAAAACGACCAACGTTTCTTTCGTGCTATCTGTTTACACACACAACCGAGACCGGAAGGATAGAAAGTAGCGAAACGCGACATCTGTAAACATAGATCGACTAACCTCTTACTCGTGATCGTTCCGCGGATAGATACAAACACGAGGCCGTTCAGGATAAACGAGTACCACGTCGGTAACGTTGTCACGCTCTTGTTTTCCGAAAGCAGACAGTACTCGAGGGTGAAGGAGGAGGCGGAATCCCAGGAGAGCCCGGGATGACGATCAAACCGTCGTCCATGGTGACCGACTATCTGGTCTTCGTCGGTTGCATCGTTGCCTCGTTCGTGATACCGTTATGGGGGAAATTTCGTGGCAGGCGGAAGGAGACGACCAAGGCCGATTACGTGTTCGCAACGGGCACCGTATCTATGGGCGCTATGATGCTGTCAATCGCGCGTGGCACGCTTGGCGTCAGATCCTTTCTAGGTTATCCGTCGGAGCTGTACTATAGAGGGAGCGCCATGTGGGAGACCATCTACGGTATGATGCTCGCGTATCCCATCGTGTGCTTCATCTTCGTCCCGGTTTACTACAGCCTCGGGATCACGTCCGTCTATCAGTATCTAGATATGAGGTAATTATCTACGAGAGTCGTGTTTCCATCGGACCCGCGATCATCATTTCGCGGGAATAACGTCGAGAATAACGCTCGCGCGGGAATTGGATCCGCATCCTTGAAAATTCGCTCGTGGGAAATCTCTTCTTTCCTGTTTTTCTTTCTTTTTTTTCTTCTTCTTCTTTTTTAAATATAGGGCGTTTCATTTGAACCTTTGAAACTTTCTCTATCTTAAAATACACGATTTAGGGTTTGAAAAATAAAAATAATTCGAAACGTAGCGAGAATCGAGTTTGTTTTTTTTGTTTATTTTTGAAAAAGAAGCTCAAATTATATATATAGGTATTAATTATTCAAAGAAAGAGATTTGATCTTCAGATATCTTCCAAAAAAAAAAAATTACGAAAAATTATTCAACATTTTCGATATAAGGAACAATTTCGAAATTATTTCAATTATTTCTAATCTCTTGATGAAATACCCTATACGTTGAGAGGAAAATTTGCCGCCAACAGGAAGTTTTTTTTTTTATGAACGCAACAATTAAGTAATGGAAGGCACAATGTAAAGTTAATAGACTAGATCATTCGAGATATCTTCCGAGAAATAATTCGCCTCGAAATCACGCGGACACGTGACGGATCACGGGGAAAATTTGAATTCACCTTGTACACGATATGCTCTCGAGCAGCTCGATATCGTCGTTTGCTTGCCTGGAACCAGGCTACTTTACATTTTCAATTTACGTGGTACCAGCCACCGCATAAATCCGCCTCCTATTTTTCCTTTTTTTTCTTTCTTTTTTTTTTTTTCGTTAAAAATTCTTATCCGTCTAGATAGACTTTCTCTCGGGTGGAAAACTATTGTTTCGAAAAAGTTTAGTTAGAGTTGAATTTTTTCCCATGAACCTTGAGACGATATTCCCGCTTAACGATTATGTCCGGCTATATATATAACCGGAGAATAGACCTCTCGTAATTATGCTAATTTCCCAGGTTCAAGTCGAAGCTAGTCAGATGCCTCGCAAGCTTCTCCTACGTGATACGAAGCCTGCTGAACTTGGCCGTCACGATATTCACGCCTTGCGTAGCTCTTAAGGCTGTGATTGGCTTGCCTTACTGGACCAGTATAATCGGTATTACATCTATATCTGTCGTCTTTTCAATTATGGTGAGTGTAATTTTACGTTCTACGATAATGTAACGTGAATCTAATTTGAAAAGAAAATTATCGAGAATTGCTTGCTCTTGAAATGAATGTGATATTGGATTATATTTCTAATATAATGGAAAATTATTATTTTTTTTTCTTTTTTAAGTAATTCTTGAAAATTTTACTCTCAAATGTATACGCACACAGTCCAACAGTGTAAATGTAATTTTCAATTTAAAGATGTGAATATAATTTGAGAGTTGGCGATTACTCTCGAATAATTAATTTCGGTGCATTAGCGAGAAATAATTTTTTAGAGCGAACTCTAGAGAGTTTTTTATTCTCAAATGTATTCGCAGTTTAACCTGGTTTTTTTATATCAATTTCTTTTTTTGAGGGAAAAATAATTGAAACTATTCGCTAATCGTATTTATTTAGAATCGAAAATAATCGTGGGATCGAAAGTTCGTCTAAATCGATTGATTAAAACATTCGATACGGATGACGTGCGCGTCATGGGAATTTCCTATTCCATGGCAGGTGAACGCATACAATCGCGAACTTTTTAAAAAAAAAAAAATTTTGTTCAGAATGTAGATATATAAAGAATAAAAAAATTATGCAGTCCAAAAGTTGACAATTTATTTTTCTCGATGGTATTAAAAATCGTGAAATTTTCTTAATATTATAAAACGCTAAATATTTAGAGAGAAATCCAAATCTACCAAATCGTAGATTTATATATCTTATGGAAATCTTACAACGCAAACATCGTAAAATTTAATCTTTCCATTTTGTGTTTCTTTTTCTTTTTTTTTTCTTTTTATTAAAATGCGAATAAACACGAGCGTTAATCCGTAGCGTCGAACTTATGCTAAAAAAAATAATGAATAATTTATCTGTTCGAGTTTATAAAAACTCGGCAAAAAAATCTCGAAGTCACTTTGTAATCGTAATATAATACTTATTTGATGCTATTTTAGAAAAAAACATCTATCCGTATAGACGCTCGTCCATTGCAATTGACAGAATGAGAAAAAAAAACAAAAATTTAATCTTAAATTTAAATCGAAGAATTAATTCTCTTAATTTATTTTTACACCTCTCGATCGCGTTTCGCGATTTCAAATATTTCACGAAGCTAACGATTATTGCCTCTCGATCATAAATATTCATTCGAGAAGAGTTCATCGGCCATCGGCGATTCTACACGATTTACGACAAGAGAAAGGAAAAGGAAACCAGAAGAGGCCGATGATTTTTCGCGCTGAAACATTTAGAATTGTCCTTACGGCAGCCGCCGCATTTTCGCCCCATCAATTATTCCGGGTCCAAGAGGGGTCGCCCGTTCGAAAGGGCATTTCCTCCCATCGAAAGGATCGTAAATACAACACGCGTGATCGTAAAATTCCCGTAAAAACAACGCACGAGGCAAGACAACCACGTGAAAATGCCCATTTTATACTCGCCTTTCCCGTGCGTCGTACACGTGAATTCATTCCCGTGTCGTCCAATAATTTTCAATTCGTTTGAAATATTCCCGCGTCCAAACGCGCGATTTTCGCTTTTTCGTCCGTCGGATTAAATATCCATCTCTCTCTCTCTCTCTCTCTTCTCTCTCTCTGTATGTGTGTGTGTGTTTGCAATTTTTTTTTTCGTAGCTCGTGAATTTGTGACGATAGTAAAGAAAATATATAAAAAAAAAAAGCAGCGCTTTGCAATTAGAGAAATTTGTATTCGTAGCGATTCAATTCAGGAATTGAATATGTTATCGCGTGTATCGTTGCGAATACGTTTGAAAATAAGAGAAATTGTTTTTTCGAGAATCGTTATTTTTCTCTAGTGGATTGCGTTGAGAGTGAAAGTTGCTCTAAAGAAATGATGATAAAGAGAGAAAGAAAGGAATTACACCTTGAATTGAGGATTATTTAAAATTTCTAAAATTCGAATCGTATCTGCACAAAAATTTTCACAAGCGTTCACTTCATCGTTTGATTAAAATTTAAACTATCCTATATGGGAATTTTAAATGGGATATAAAAAGTTAAAGCATTTCAAAAATTTTGGAAAAAACAAATTCATGAATTTCATTTTTGTCTGCAGGGAGGACTGAAAGCGGCCATCCTCTCAGACGTTATACAAGGTTTGACCATGATCGGTGTGTCGCTGGTGATAATCGTGAGAGGCTCAGCCGATATAGGCCCCAGTCAAATTTTAAACGTGACGTACGAGCGTGGCCGATTGGATTTCTTCGAGTAAGTGTAAACATTGACCGTAGCCAAGCGCTTTGATTAGAATGACGTGGGATCCTCATAACGCGTTTAGATTGGATATCGACAATCTTATTGGCTTAATCGAGGCATCAATCCGTGTTTCACGTGAAATCTAGGCGAGATTCGAACGAAAGTGTTCACGTGCTGTTATATCACTAATATTACTTTCTTATTTATATAATATATTCTTATTTATCATTTCAAAATATCTGAGATAATTAAAAAAAATTTTTAATGATTTTCCTCGTGTCGTTCTCGTTTAAATAAATACATTAGATTGTTTGCAAAGAATAATGGCGAAAAATGTAAATAGAAAAATATTTGTTTTCTAATTCAATTGATTTCTAGCAAATAGCATTGATATCAAAAATTTCTCCTATCCTATTTGTGTGTATATAACGTTATAGAATATTTGTACATATAAAGACTTTCCTCTTTCCACTGTATATAAATTCTTCCAATTTAAAAGATAAAAAAGAAATTGAATGCATCTCGAAAAATGAGAAACTATTATGCAGAAGACTTTAATTAAGAATGGGAGAATAATTCTGAACAACCGATTTCAAATACACGCAGAACAAGAAGATCGTCGCGTAGCTTCCAATTCGATACACTTGTGCCACGAGACGATACAAAAAGAACAAAGTATCTTCGATTTAAAATAAAGAAAAAAAAAAAAAAAAAAGACAAGCATTGTCCAAGCATTTTCATTAATTTCGTAAAACAAGAAGAACGTATACACCAATTCCTCGCAAATTAATCGAACCGATCTCTGGTTTCAGCATGAATTTCGATCCCACACTTCGAGTGACGACTCTGTCGGCAACTCTGGGTCAATTATTCATGAGCCTGTCCATCTTCGGTTGTCAGCAGAACTTCGTGCAGAGATATTGTAGCATGACTAGCGAGAGGAAAGTGATCAAGTGAGTGTGTAACTTTTTTTTATCAAATCTTCCTAAATCAAATTGAAAATTTAATAATAAATGGAACTGGAAAATCGATTTTGCGCGGCTAGATATAAGATAGAATTATTAATGGAAATAGATGATACGGGTATATATATATATATATATATATATATATATATATATATATATATATA